TGAACTAATCTCCATAGCAAAGACATGTGCCATTTTTATGTCGAAAATAACCAAATGTCATTTTGGTATTTAATGATGGCTCCGGAAACAAATAACGGAATAAAATTAGAAACAACAAAATAGGACTTACAAATTTCTAAAGAGAATTCATCCACCCTATCTCTCCCTAAAAGTGCTCCGTAGAAACCAAAAAAACACCCCTCAAAGCTTCCCTATCTCCAACCTGCTCACCTGACAAAAATTAAAATGCACCCCATCGAATGCAAATCACGCCTAATGAAAGACAATTGATTCGTCTAAATGAATTGCAAATGAGTTGACCCAACCCAGCCTCCTCCGGAGAATCATTTGCCGTGTCAAAGTTTCCATCCTAGCCACAGTTCATCATTCAATGACTACCCAACCGTATCGAACTAGTTGATTTCCGGCTGCAAGCAACAGATACATTATGCGCACTCATGATTGTTCTAGATAATAGAATCTCCGGTTAATCTAGTGCAAACAAATGTGAACAAGCTGCTCCGCACGGGGAATTCACTGATTCCGAAAATTGAGCTAATTTGTTCAGCCGAAAGCATGCGTAGCCTTTTTGTTGCTGATGGCGATCGTGGAAAGCGAATCGCCGGGCTTCGTTTGGATTTTCTATTTTGCCATTAATCTTTTATCACGGGCCATAAAACGGTTGAAAATGGTCCGCCAGAAAGCCCGCATTCACGTTTATACTTACCTGTCGTCGTCGGTCGCTGTTTGGTGGGGGGGAGGGGGGGTGCTGGTGGTGTTATTCATACAAACAATATCATCATCATCACGGTGGTTGCAGAATCAGTTGGGTGGGTAGAGATGTCCGTATGAAAATATATAGTATTCAACCGACTGCCAGTTTACCTGAACGGATAGCTTAATGACTAGATGATCAAATTGTGCAGTTTAACAGTTGACCAAATGGTTTATCGTTTTTTTTTACCTAGGATTACGTCTTTCGGCAACATAATGGGGGTGCAATTTAAAAAAAAAACCAAAATCGACCGCGCTACGGAAAGTGGTCAGGTTTTGACCACTTATAACTTTGTTAATAGCAGATGGATTTTAATTCTAATCAAGCCAATCGATTGTAAAATTGTCGACAAATCTTCTGAAATTAACATTTTGTCAATTTTCAATATGTTACTATTGAAAATTACACAAATGTCCAACTGTTGCACTGGTGATCAAAATTTTCACCGATTGCCTGCAAAAAAAAAACGTGATTTCCCTAACACAGTCGCTGAACATTGATACCGAGCACGTAATCTTACGTCCACTCTACGATCGTGTCTTGGATACAACCTCTTACTTGTTTGCCGTTTTTGTCTATATTATCCTTCTTGAATTTATTTGCCTACCATTTTGCCCTTTCTTGGTCTTCTTGTTCTTTGTTTCTCGCTATTATCCTTTCATGCGCTTCCCAAATATCCAACTAGTCCGTTAATCTTTCTTTTTGAAATATAAGACTGATATACGACTAATTTTAAGTTGGGGAGCCCTTGGGGTACATAAAGTATATACATTGGAAGCTTTTTTCGGATGGTTCGGTAACCATTTTTTTTTTTCGGACAATAGTTCTCTTTTTGGGAATGTGTTCACAGTTTTCCACTTTTCAAGTGAAACACAGTGAGCACATTATCATGGACAGAATTTCAACTATGAAGAAGCAAAATGCTTTAGGAATTTTGAGCGATGTTTTGCGTTCCCTTGCCCCATAATACGGAAGTACATGTGACTCTAACTAAATGAGCGTCACGCTTGCATTTTCAACTTTAGTCGAATTTAGAGCGTTTCACTAGTCGCAATCATTCCTTTCAATTTAGAGAAATATCGTTAACTTCACGGTACATCATGTCACCGGACATAACCAATAGTCGGTTATAGTTGATTGCTGCAATGTAAGGAGCTTGGTGGCCCTATGGCAACCATTTCTGCTTAATGAGCAGAAGATCGTGGGTTCAAACACATATTGGGTTCACATTGAAGGGTTGATAGGATCGCTTGAATTTCATACAGGATCGTGTTCATGAAATTATTACCAACACCATAATCAATCACTTATCTAGTTGAATACTGATCCAACGAACTCTGCTGGTTTCTGCAACAATTTCTAGATTTTTGTAGACAGTCGGTGATTAGCCTAAGGTCTCCTATTCTCATGATGCGGCTGCCATCTTAGGTGTAGCTTTCGGGAATAAGCATTTCATACTCAGTCGGTGGATGCCAGTCAGACGCTGTTTGAGCCGCACCTCTATGGTGAATAGACACTCGGGTTTGGCGAAGCATTTCCTCAACCGCCTTGCTATGGTTACCACGCTGTGGTGTTCACGTACGAACGAACTCTGCCTACAAACAAAATCTTCATCCTGTCACCTTTTTAGGGATGCAAAGGTCCCCAAAACAACAAAAATCCCTCTAATATTTTTTCCCTACTGCCACCCAACTGCAAGGTCACAGCCGGCGCCGTTATTGATGGAGTAACTGATGAAAAGAACTCAATTTATTACCTACCAAGAAACAATTTTAGTTTTATCATAGTCTTGTAGACCATGATCATTATAAAACCTGTAGTAAGCCGGTAACGTGGGCTGTTACCGGAAAAATTAAAAAATTACCGAGAATCGAAAGCTCAACAGTAAACCGGTGTTTTGAGATTTAATAAAGTTTAACATGTAGCTTTGCGTTTTAAAGACTTCCTTGACATCTTAATGCATTTTTCACGTGTTTTACCATTATTTCTCTTGTTTCTGCGTTTTTCGTCTGTATTGGCATTTCTTTGATGGTCCTTATGTCATTTGAATTATTTTTGCCATTTTGCTTTGTACTTGTAAATGATTTGTATTACTACTATTTTTGAACGTATTTTTTTGCGATTTAAATATGTTTGTCTTCCTTGTCCCTTTTTACTTTTACCTTTTTGCATGCTGTTGATCGATTTAAAGTTCACTAAAGGGCATGCTTAAAAAAACTCGTTTTTTTTTATTATAGCTCGTTTAATTGATAACGTACTTTAAAACTTTAAAAGCTTCACGGAGCCATAGTTGAACAACGTTTGCCACTATTGATTTTGCCTATTACGCCTTTTTTTATTTGTTATCATTAGTGGTTTCGACTGGATTGTTCGATTTATTTAGGAGGGGTTTTTCAGTCTAATTATTGAAACGATGATTTTTTACGATCCTGAAGTTTCAGCCGTAGGTTTAAAGTCTTTATCAGTAAACATAACAACCCTTGAAAATGCTCGCAATAGTTTAAATTTGACAAAGGCTGCCATTTCACCCCTTATTACCAGTGGTGACAAATGTACATTTTTTTCTCAACCACCAGAGCAAAACAGCCAGCACACGGGTGATTGTGTATATTTACATTTCAAGCGAACAGCGGAGATAGAATATAAGGACTGTTCATTAATGAAAGTAGACACCTATTTCTCAATGAAAAATGTTTATTTTCGAACAAATTCATAAGTTCACTTTATATAAATTACATATAAACATACATATGACCGATTTCACGTGAGTTTGAATGTTTATTTCTCATTTCTGAAGAACGCTCGGACATTTCTCTTGATACCGCCCATTAGATTCTGCACAACTTTCTTCTTAACTTTTCGTTGTGCTGCAGGCCAAATTTTCTTGAAGCAGTCAACAGAGCTTGCTTCTCTTCCATCTTTCTTAAGATGCCGTATCTTTCGATAGGACGCAGTTCAGGGCAGCTTAGGGGATTTTGGAATTTTTCGACAAAATCGACTTTTTCCTTCTTGAGCATCTCCAACGTAGCAGAAGCATAGTGAGCAGATGTCTGAGCGAAAATTCACAATTTTTCGTTACGTTTTAACCCGAAGCCATTGATAAACAGGTGTCCAGTGTCTTTAATGAACAGTCCTTAGTTAAAATGTCGCAGCCCAATCATTTTCAAACAGTTTATTGAAATCAAATGTTAGCTGCAAGCTTGCGTGTGACAGTAAGTTATCAACTCCCTTAGTTACGCATAATTTTAACATACATGCTTATGAGTGGCTAGTATTCTTTCTTATCGTTTGATTCCATACATTAAACATCAAATAAATGCCGTTATTAGCAAGAAATCCACAACATGGGATAAATGGATGTAATGTCGGCCTAAATGACCCTAATTTGGGTCCATACATATATTCAGCAATCGACTAAATTTTCAAAAATATCCATTAGTTCCATCCCAATGATAAAATTGTTAAATATCAGATTTTTAGCGATGGACCCAATCTTAGATCCATAGGCCAACATAAGAGCCATTTCCCCTTGTCATGTTTTTTTAATATAAACTTCAATTTTCTAAAGTTATTATCAATTTATTCGGATCAACTTATTCTTCTCAACTCCGCATCATGGCTAGAAATCACTCTCTCTCCAATGGGGGTTGGTCAAATACAATGTAACAAAGGTCATCAATAAACTACGTAATATAACATCCTCCCCACTAAAAGTTAATTCAAACAATAATCTTGGAATTTACTTGGTAGTTTAATATTTCTGCGTGGTCGGCCGTATTCAGTTGTAGCAACCGGTGTTGCTCCTTTTGCTGCATGGGCATTTCGTAGTGGTGACATTTCCTCGACATTTCGATCGACTTTAGGCTGCAAGGTAGACTGGGAACTCTGCTCGAAAGTGCACGAACTTTCTGATCCGGTTGATTTCTCCTACCTGTCAAATTTCCTTGTTTACGTTTATCCAGTTCATCAGTATTCTCCAAAGCATCTGAAGAATTTGATGACCGAAGAATTGGAGTCGTGATCGGTTCTTTACGTGACTTTACATGTACCAAATCTCTGCGATAGTTGGCTCCTTTTGCGTTTACCAGGTAAGACCTTTCATTAAGCTTCTCGGTGATGATTCCTGGAGTCCAAACTGTGTTAGTTTCGGGATGAATCTGCACATAAACTGGTGAACCCACTTCGAGTTGAGGCAGCTGTCGTGTCTTCTTATCGTAGTAATACTTTATTTTTCTCCTGTTTTTTTCAATAGCATCCGGAACGTTTTCGATGACTCGTGGCAGAAGGTTTGTTGCTGCTGTAGGAATTCCGCATCGTGTGTTTCTAGAAAACAACCGATGTTACGCCAGTGTAGCAAAGAGTACCAAAAATCATTGCCAACCTCCTGAGATTTCTGAAGAAGACGTTTGGCAATCTTGACGGCTGCTTCGGATTTGCCGTTAGCTTGCTGGTGATGTGGCGCTGATGTAGAGTGGCAAAAGTCCCACTCCTGTGCAAACAGTTTCCACTCCTGGTTGACAAAGTTCGTACCATTGTCGCTTACTACGATTTGTGGGCTTCCATGGCGTGCGAAATTCTTCTTGCATACTGCTATCGCTGATTGCGGTGTTAAATCGTTCAGCAGATCCACCTCGAAGAAATCGGAGTAGTGGTCCACCGTGACCAAAAACGATCGCTTTCTGCCTTGATAGTCTGCAAAGAAAACATCCATTGATACTAATTGGAATGGATAAACTGGTATTGGATGACTTTGCATAGGTGGTTTCTGTTGTGAGCTCCCGAATTTAGCGCATACGACGCATTCCTTCACAGTGTCTTTGATCTGAGCACTCATCCCTGGCCAAAAGATGTTGGCTCTAGCCAGCTTTAATGTCGCTTCTACTCCATTGTGACTGATGTGCGTTTTGTCGATCATCTTACGACGCAATACCTGGGGAATCAGGATTCTGTCGTTTCGAAAAATCATTCCAGTTTGAACGGTAAGTTCATTCTTGTATTTAAAAAAAATTCTCACAGAATCTGGAACGTCATCAATTGAACTAGGCCAACCTAGTTGAATATACTCGATGATTTGCTGTAGTGTAGAGTCCTTAGTGGTTTCGTCGATGATTTCATCCAGCCTATCGTCTGATACTTGTAGAAAATTTTTCAGGTGTATGTCTTCCAGGTCTTTCATAATCTTGAAAATGTTGAATTTATTATAGTTCCCTTCTTCCAGATGTGCATCATCATAAGGAACTCGTGAAATTGCGTCAGCAACTACGTTTTCCTTTCCAGTTACAAATTCTATCTCCAAGTTGTATCTTTGAAGGTTCAGGAGCATGTGTTGCAACCGGCGGGGAGCTGACAGTAAGGGTTTCTTGAAAATATTCACCAGTGGCTTGTGATCCGTCCTGACGGTGGTTTTTTTGTTGCCGACGATCAGCTGATCGAATCTAAGACAGGCGAACAGAATGGCAAGTAGCTCCTTCTCAATCTGCGCGTAATTTTTTTCTGTAGAAGTGAGTGTTCTTGAAGCATATCCAACAATGCCGTTTTTTTGAAAGACTGCCGCTCCAAGTCCGTAACAGCTTGCGTCGCATTCGATAAACAATGGTTGTGCCACATCGTAGTATCGCAATGTGCGGATGTCTGATACCATCGTTTTCACCCGGAGAAATTCTTCATCCTCAAGAGAAGTCCAATGCCAAGGTTCTTTTTCCGACAAAAGTCGCCTCAAATTGACGAAGTTGGTGCTCAAGTTGCTAATAAATCGGCTAAGATAATTCACCATTCCAATAAAACGGTGAAGTTCCTTACGATTTGTTGGAGTCGGATAATTTTTTATTGTGTTGATCTTTGTATCATCGGCCTTCAACCCTTCGGTGGTCAAGACATGACCAAAGAATTTTACTGAGGTTTGGCACAAATTCAACTTGGACTTGTTCAATTTCACATTATATTCTTTCAACCTTACTAGAAGGGTCTCCAATGATCGATTGTGGTTCTCCAAAGCCTCTTTGAGCGTATCACCCATGCCAACTATCAGCAAATCGTCTGCTATTCCTTCAACACCTTCTAAATCCTGAATGATCTCTTGGAGCTTCATTTGAAAGATTTCTGGAGCAGGTGCAATGCCGAAAGGCATACGAACCCACCGATATCGCCCAAAGGGGGTCCAAAATGTGGTCAATTTGCTGCTTGCGGTGTCCAGCTCAACATGCCAGAAACCTTTTTTCGTATCTACAGTAGAAAAAACTTTGGCCTTACCTAGTACGGGAAGAAGTTCGTCAACCGTATTGAACTGTAAATTTGGACGTTTCAACGCTTTATTCAACGGTATCGGGTCCAAACAAATCCGTATTGGGTCACTTTCCTTATTGCCACGACGAACCAAAACGATGTTGCTGACCCAATCCGTATGTGCAGTTTCCTTCACTATCAAACCTTCCTTCTGCAACTTTTCTAGTTCATGTTTCAGCTTCGGACGTAACGCAATCGGATGTTGCATTGAAGGTTTCACGTTTTCGTCGATCTCCAACGTCACCATTCCGGGAAATCTACCGTAACCTTCAAAAATGTCACTGTGTTTCTTCACTATGGTTTCGGCTTTCACAAGATATGTGTTCAAAAGGTTATGGTTATTGTCCAGACTCGACTTACGAACGTGAACTGAATGGCAGAACTTTATCAAACCGAGTGTACGCGAAGCTTTCAACGACAACAACGGACGATGATCGTTTTCCACAACTTGAAGAACCAACAAATACTTTCGTCCCTTCCTCTTCACCGGAAGCTTCACTTGTCCCAGTACGGATATCGAACTACCTCCAAAAGCGCGCAGTTTAACGTTACTTGGTTCAACGATTGGATTAACACTTCCTGTCAACTTAATTAACCAGTTGTAGCCAATTAGTGTTGCGTTAGCTCCTGTATCGATCTCACAGGTCACCTTCTTCCATTCATCACCAATCTTGATCTCAAGAGAGGCAAGGGCACTGTTTTCGACATCCGATTTTCCACTTCCACTAACTTTACCAATCTGTACTTCACGTTCACTTTCTTCGTACTCACTTCCTGATTCTTCAACTTCCGATGAACTTGAGTCGTCATTAGACATATTGTCACAGCCCTTCACTTCTTTCACACGTTTTCTTTCATTCTTTTCCATCCTTCGTCCTCCGAGTTTGCACACTTTTCCAAAATGATTTCTTCCGCCGCATCGATTGCATTTCTTCCCGAATGCCGGACATGCTCCTTTGATAAATTCGTGTCGATCCCCACAGAATTTAAACTGCATACGATTCTTACTATTCTTGTTAATCTTCTTCACCTCCGTATTTGTTTCCAGCTGGTTACAGCGTTGCTCGGTTATTTCTTCGATACGACACATATCAATGGCCTTGTCCGTCGTCAAATCCTGCATTGTGAGCATTTTTGTTCGCAAATGCACCCATTTGTTGCTCGTTACTATTTTGTATGTAACGAGGTCCGATTCTAATGCTGCAAATTTGCAATTCTTTGCCAAGCTCTTCAACCGCGTAGCAAAATCGTCGATTGACTCGGTGGATATCTGATTTGCTGAAAAGAAATCCAACCTGTCGACGAATAGATTCCTGGCACGAACCACTTTTGCCTTGATTGCCCTTAGTGCATCTTCCGGGTTGTTTTGTTGGTCTTGCGTCAGTTCGAAGTTAAAATATTTCTTCAAAGCTGCCTCGCCGATAACGGACAACAAAAAGCTCACAATTTTGCCGTTGTCCGCCGGGGGCCATTTGTCCATTCCAACTGCCTTGGAATAGTTATTCCAGTTAGCCAAAAAGAAGTTGTAATTCTCCTCCATGTCCCCTTCCAGTGCTAATGGAGGAGGAAGTGGTACAGACGGATTAATGTTGTTTTGTTGCGGGATGTCCGTTTTGTTCATCCCTTTTACGATTTCTTCCATCCATTTGTTTTGTTGGGTTATGAACTTTGCGAATTGTTCCGCATCCATTTTGTTTCAGTTTTTTTTTTTTTTTTTTTTGAAAATTTTCCTCGACCAAACAAATATGGTTGCCGCGGACCTCGTTTATATGTTCACACACGAGTGAAAGAGACCACTATAGTTCTCCACGAACGAACTTCCGCGAGATGATTCTTTAGACGGAAAACTGAAAAATAACTGTTCTCGATGTAGATGACGAGAATTCCATTAACTAGTCACGACACTTCTGACACCATGTCATGTTCTTTAATATAAACTTCAATTTTCTAAAGTGATAATAACTTTATTCGGATCAACTTATTCTTCTCAACTCCGCATCATGGCGGTTTCTAAATCACTCTCTCTCCAATGAGGATTGGTCAAATACAATGTAACAAAGGTCATCAATAAACTACGTAATATAACACCCCTATTACATGCCATAAATTTGTGGCACGCACGCCGAAAATGTTCTGTCGCTGGCAGAAAACAGTTCAAAAATGTCGCTTGCCAGTTTATTTTTGTCTTCACTGGGGTTATTGCAAAAAGTATCAAATGTTAAGGTTAATGTTATTAACTAGCACTGCTTATTACAATCTACTGCCGTTACAAACCCATTTTCCCACTAAACTCATTTCGCCCTTATGTACTTATCAACTTGAATCAACGATACAAGAAACTTTGAAATTGTTTAACCTTCTCTGAATTTTCATTTTGCCTTCGATCTTTTGTCCATCGACCTTTTGTCCATCGACCTTTTGTCCTATAACCTCAACGAAAGTTTTTTTCAAACTATCCCCGAAAGATAATTCCAACCTTTCGTGGAAGGTTCTTCCTACTTTCCACGGAAGTTAATCCACCTTTTTTTTCCGGAATGTTTCTACCGACATTTCCTGGAATTTTATTCCATCCTCATTCTCGTCCTCTTCCGAGAGAGAACACTCCGGAAGTTGATTCTAATATTTCCCGGAAGTTTGCATTTTTTCTCAAAAGATCATACCAGCTTCTCCAGAAACTTTGCAATTTCCTAGAAGTTCTAATATTTCCGTAAGCCTCTACCAACTTATCCCGGATCCCCCCCCCCTTAATTCATACCGGCATCCCCCAGAAGATTCTTTCAGCTTCCCCGTACTTCTTAGGATGTTGCTTGTATACCCCCAGAAAATAATTCCAACTTGTTTCGGAAGTGTCTAAGCTTCTTCCATGGGAAGTTTCTTACAAGTTTCCTCAGAAGTTTCATGAAACTATCACCAGGAGTTAAGGAGTCAATGAAAAATGCGACCGATCGCATGGCTTTCAAATTATTCAAAAGGTCAGTTGACCTAATAGTTAAATTAAAATGATTAAATCACCAAATGGCCGGTTGATGATCAGTGAGTTTAAGAGTTCGATTGACAAAACTTCGAATAATATATGAAAGAGGTTAAGTTAGCTGATAAACTGGCACAATCAAAGGGTTGATTTCCATAGACAATTTTTCAACTAAGTGGTCAGTTCAACAATAGATATTATCCTAGAGCACGCAGGCGTTTTCAATGAATACTAAACCGCCCTTCGGAAACTTTAGGAACCTTGTTCCGTTTATGTTGCTGAGCTAGCAGCAATCAACTTCGCATTGGGGATAATTTCCGACATGCCCATAGACCATTACTTCATCTTCTCGGATGGTCTCAGTTCGATTGAGGCTATTAGGTCGATGAAACCAAGTAGGCACTCATCTTATTTCCTTCCAAAGGTAAGGGACCAGATAAGTTTGCTGGTCGAAAGATCACATATGATTACCTTTGTATAAGTCCCCTCACATTACTCAATCCAAGGAAATGACAAGGCAGACTATCTCGCAAAGATGGGCGCGCCTCAGGCTAAAAATCTCTAAAATAAAGATTAAAAAAAAAAAAAAAAAAAGATGGGCGCACAACATGGCGAGATTTATGATGGCATAATTTCACATGGTGAATTTTTCCCATGAGTACGTCAAAGTTCTCTTTTAAGTTGGCTAAACGATTGGACAAGTAATTCTCTTGGGCGATGGTTACATTCCATTATTCCAAATGTTTCTAAGAGAGCGTGGTTCAAAGGTCTGTATGCAAGTCGGGGATTCATTCACGTGATGTCAAGACTTATGTCCAACCAGTACTGTCTATCTTACTAAATACGCTCTCAAAGAAATTAGCAATGAGATTAGTTGTCTCCGAGCTTGAGCGAGAAGTGGTTTCATCGAAGTTGACCGAGCCAGGGATGCCGTAGTCAGCTTTGAGTTTCTTGATGAAATCCCAGAAGTGCGAAGGATTTTCCTTGATGGTTGTCTGTATCCTAAAAACAAATATTTATCGTGTGTTGCAGACAGGGCAGCTTTGTACTCCAACTTAAACTCACGGAGTCTAGCTTTATCGTACACATTTTTCGTTTGGAACAACCTATTGCGCAGCTTACGTAGATTGTTTCGAAGTGTACGTAGCTCTGCAGTCCACCACGGTTTGTTAAAATTAGAAATCGATGTTTGTTTCTTTCGAGGTACATGATGATTTATAACTTCAGATCGAGAGATTCGTAGAAATCTGATAATGAAATAACAATAACAATTCATGGCATGTCTTTTGTTGTGAATGTATTGTTTAAGATCTACATTTTTCAAAAAGGCTAGTGGTTGTATCTTTTCTTACACTGTTTGCTAGTGAGCTTCTTAAGACCGACCTTGTAAGAACATCAACACATCACAACAACGCATTTTGAGGATGGCATCTCTTTTTTATATAGTTTTGCAACACCGAATGTTCCTATTGTCATGAAATAAAATAACAATAAGGGGAGTATATTGAAAACTGTGATACACTGGAACCTCCATTAACGAACCAAAACGGGGGTTCGTAAATCGAATTAGTGCGTAAAAAAAACCTCGTTATTTGGGATTTACTTCGTAAAAAGAAAACTCGTTATTTGGGATTTACTTCGTAAAAAGAGGTTTTTGAAAATATTGTCAAATACCCCACAATATGGGTATTTTTGAAATCAGGGTGACGTCTATGGAACGGAAATCGATGAAATCCAATTCCAAAAATACACATATTGTGGGGTATATAACAGAATTTCCAAGTTTTTCTGTAACCGGAAGCCACCATCTTGGATTTCAAAATGGCATCAGACATCAATTTCCGGTCCCGAAACGTCAATCCGATTTCAAAAATACCCATATTGTGGGGTATTTGGCAGAATTTCTAAGTTTTTATGTAACCAGATGTCGCCATCTTGGATTTCAAAATGGCGTCAGATATCGATTTCCGGTTCCTGCACATCACCCTGATTCCAAAAATACCCATATTGTGGGGTATTAGGCAGAATTTCCAAGTTTTTCTGTAACCGGAAGTCGCCATCTTGGATTTCAAAATGGGATCAGACATCGATTTTCGATCCCTTCACGTCACTCCGATTCCAAAAATACCCATTTTGTGTTGTATATGGCAGAATGTCCAAGTTTTTCTGTAACCGGAAGCCGCCATCTTGGATTTCAAGATGACGTCAAACATAGATTTCCAGTTCCTACACGTCACCCTGATTCCAAAAATACCCATATTGTGGGGTATTGAATGTATCTTTCAGTTTTTCATGAACCGGATGCCGCCATCTTGGATTTCAAAATGGCATCAGACATGGGTTCCAAAGATACCCATTTTGTGGGATATTTCACAGTTTTTCCCAGATTCCCATAATCGCAAAAAAAAACTCGTTATTTGGAATTTACTTCGTAAAAAGAAAACTCGTTATTTGGGATTTACTTCGTAAAAAAAAACCTCGTTATTTGGGATTTACTTCGTAAAAAGAGGGACGTAAATTGAATACTGCGTAACTTCGTAAACGGAGGTTTCATTGTATTACACTTTTTCCCGAATTAAAAAAATACCTGCCGATTTTACCCCACCTCCCCTAACAGAGAGCAAAAAAGCACAACCGTAAGGGACAGGTTCCCGTTGCGTGAAATCCTAATCCCTGAACGGAATCTGTGTTATTAGCCCAAGCAGTCTTGTGCAGCGGTGCGAGCGTCGTACGTATTTGCGTACCCTAATACCGAGAATATAAAGCCGAACCGTCGGTAAATGATTCAATATTCATATATAATAAATTGTAATGAGTTTTCTCCATTCGTCGGCCGTCCCGTCTTGTGAATAGATATGTAGAGAAACGGTCAGCTTTCTTCTCCTTTCAAGCGCTTCCTGAGGGGAAATATTATGACATATGAGACTGAAAATGGTGAGAGCAGACATGAGATAAGCCCAAAGCTTTTGTTCTTGTCTCCGACAGTGTGTTTTGCTTCGTAGAATTGAAAATGATATTTGTTTATGCTGACATAACTATGAGCTGTGATGACCAGGTTAAGATGGAAATGTCAGTTGTTGAAGGTACGGCTGTTGGGATCTATAAAACGATTACGAATCAATTTTATGAGTTATTTATGTAGAGGAAGATAGTCTCTTAGATAGGGTACATGACGGCTTCGGCAGTACCTTTACTTATTATCGTCCGGGGGTACATGAATCCTATGGGCGCTCATTTTTGGTATGAACAGACATCATGATTCTTAGCATCGATTGGCCAAAATTTACTACTCAAGGGTAAAATTGTAACGGTTAAAGGTATTTCCGAAGCCGTCATTTACCCTAGATGTAGTAATGACCAAGTAAAATTCGAACAATTGAAGCGAAACCCCATTGGGTAATGATAATTTCATAAAGATTACCAAGTAAATTTGACATTGTTGCACCAGCATAAAAAATGCAAGCACCGCGTTTCCACTTCGTTTCCCACCATTTACGTAGCTGGAAAATTTCCGAAGCAAATCTTCTACAACGCCAGTCCATGGGCAACAGCGGGAGTGGTTTTAAAATATTCAAATTTTAAACAAAACCATCCCAAACTTGTTTCGAATAGTTTCTCATTACGAATGCACCGCTCGCCATCTACAATGC